ATATATATATTTTATCCAGTTTTTATTAAAAACTGTCGAACGTTCCTACCGAGCCACGATTAATTTTTATTGGACAACCGAGAAGGTCGTGTCTTTGTATCGAGGGAACCGAACCGGCCGAGCCCGACCCAGTTTCTCTCTCTCCATCTCTCGTGTGTGTGTGTGTGTCTCTTGAGGATTAAGGAATCAAAACCCTACCTATATATATAGATATATCCCTCAGCTGGTTAATAATTCGTTTCCCCCGCAGACCCTAAACATATTTATCCCCGCAGCTTTAATATATCTTCTTCCCCTCTCGATAAACAATCGTCATCATCTCTTTCGTTCAAATCGCTGGCCATCATCAACAGAAACGCAGCACCTCCATCATCGTGCCATCATCTTCACTATCAGCAGCACCAAGATCGCAGCAGGTCTTCTTCTTCATCCCGTCGGGCCATCACCAACATCACCTAGCGACTGCAACGCCTCCACCGCCGCTGCCCTCTGCCTGCAACTCCGACCATCTCTTTCGCGAGCAGAGCACCTCTGCGATCGTCACCATCGTCATCTTGCAACTTCCGGCCATCAACCATTGCGGCGTCCCAGCAGAATCGAAGAGAAGCCATCACAGAAATCTGGTCACCATCATCACCCTCCGTCGGGTCCCGCTGAGTCCCGTCGGAGTACCGAACGTGGCCGTCGAGTTCCGTAGGAGTGTCAAACGTAGCCGACGAGCCCCGTTATCCAATCGCGGCCCTGTTGTCTATGAACTTCCGGCCACGTTGTGAGAAGTCCATCTTCCCCGGCTAATTCCCTGCAGCGGCGTCTCCTTCCCCATCCACCACTCGCATTCGGATGTCATGCGAACCCCAGCAACGGCGCCTTCCCTTCGTGTGCAGCAACCTCTGGCCGCATCCTCTCCCTTGTCGCGACCGTTCACAGCGACCAACAACTCCCGTCGAGCCCGTGTCGTCGCTGTCTGTGAGCTTCATTGCCGCCAGCCCTGTGGCCGTGTTCTTGCTGCTAGAGTGGCTTAGTTGCTGTCTCGGTGATCCTGCTCTGTTTCTGAGCTTAATCACTGTGGTCCCGGTGGTCCTGTGATCCAATTAGCAAGCCGTTCGACCTTTACGTTGCTCGTTTCGTAACCCCGTCCCGAGAACGGTACCCAGGCTAACCCTCAATTTATTTATTTCGTTCATGTGTGTTTAAATGCTTGTATATGCGTTGTTATTGCTGAAACATGCGTCATTCGAGTTAATTCGTGCCTTAAATATGAATTTGAGTGAAAGTTTTGATATATAATTGCCGTCGGATATCAAAGTGATTGTCGTCACTTTGAAAAATTGTCGAATTAAGGTTAATGTGATATTTCTGGTGGAAGTGCTATGGATTATTGGACTTAGGAATGTCCTTGACGCAACGGCTTTGGCTTTACGTCGTTTCAATGTGTATATTGTAAGATATGGATTTTTGAAAATCGTACTGCAGCTTGTTTTTGCTAAAATCACTATAAATAGAGTGTTGCTGCAAAAATTCTGATTTTTGGATATGTTGTTACATTGCTGTTAGATTACTTGTATTTTACATTTGAGATTTTTGTATGGACTGTAGCCTCGTCAAAACTCAAAAATCGTTTCTGGGCCGTTTCTTAATAAATTCATATAAAATTGAGTTCTTGTCCGAATTGGCTAATATTTGGATATGTTGCTTTGTATCTTACTGCTGTAGAAATTTCAAAGTTCAATTCGGACTATAGCTATTTTAAATGATTTAATTTAATTTCTGGTCAGATTTTGCTTAAAATAATTAAAATGGTTAGGAGCATGTTTGGGGGTTTTCCTTTGGCGTAAATGTGTATTTTTCTGTCTTATATATGCTGTAAAAGTTTTATTTGAAAAGTCCAAGCCCAACTCCTTGTGTTCGCATTCTTATAAATTTTGAACTAGTCCGTTTAACAGTTTTTGGGCACTGGTTGGCCTTGTTGGCAAAACCTTGACCCGTTGACCCCGTTTTCTTGTCAAATCTTTATTACCTGCTTTTATATGATTTATTAGTTGGTTGGCCAAGTCTAGAAGTCGTCCTAATGTTCCAACTCCTCAACTTCCACGAGTTTATTAGTCGATGTGATTCGACTAAGTATAATTCTCGTTATCTATGTAAGAGTCGAGATAGTTGCTTATGGGATTGTCTTGAATTATGTAGATGTCGGACGAGCAGTGTCTCAACCACCTACGACTTTCCGGTTATTTGCTTTATCGACACCAGGTGGGTCTTATTTGAAATTTCCAATGCTGTAAATGTTATTACTGTTTATTTGTTGTATGATCAAAGTACGCATGTGAATCATGTAGCCTTCGGTGTGAGCTGTACCGGCCACCGAACGGTTATTCCCGTAGCTATAGAAATTACCCGTTGGGTAGTATCCCTTGAGAGCCGTAAGACCAGGGCGTAGGATCTGGCTGGTGATCCCCGATTGTAAGACCAATTCGTAGGTTTTGGCCGGCGGGGTGGTTTACTCCTACTGGCTGGGCATCATTGTAAGACCAATTCGTAGGTCTTGGCGTTCGAATCGAGTATCAGCAGTAGTGTATGCGTAGGTGTGCACATGAGTCTAATTATTGTGATTATTGATGGGAGAATGGGATAGATTATTGCTTCGTATACATGCTGAGACCATAGCTTTCGATTACTGATTATTAGTGGTGAGCACTACTGTTCCTCTTGTGCTCATCCCCACCTGCTCTTCACGGGAGCAGGTTAGTATGGCGAGCACGGTGGAGGGAAGCGAGTGGTGGTCACAAAAATTGTTATTGCTTCTGCTTGAAATTGAATTATTGTTATTATTGCCTTATTGATTACTGAACTATTGATAGGGAATGTATTCCCTAGGTATGTATGAGTATTGGATAATTGGATTGGATATCGATTATTGAACTGAGCTATTGTTGGATTATTGATTATTGATGAATGAGTACTGAGTATTGAGTATTGATGATTGATAATTATTGATTGTTGATTTGAAAATAAGTAGCGCCTCAAGTGTTTTGAAATAAAATTTTTAAAAAAAATTATTCTGATTTTTGGCAAATAAAATTGGGGCTTTACAATTTGGTATCAGAGACAGTCTGCGTTTCTGTAGACTGGTTAATGTGAACTAATTAATTATGTGATTTGACTTTAAGTTATGACCACTCGCTCTCGTCGTGCCGCGCCACCTCAGGTACGAGTACCTGAATAATGTTCGAGGTTTCTGTGATATGCTTATCGAATATTGGTATGAAATCAGGGCTTAGGAATTTATCCTCCTGCTTCTAAGAACTTTTTTTTTTTATTTTGAACCTTAGATGAGTGGCGAAATTGTTGTATAAACTTGAACTCTAAAGGTATAGAGTTAAGTTCCGACTTGAGAATTTGTTGTTTGGAAATTTGATATAATGTTATCGAGTTGAATTCTATTTGTAGCATTGCTCTCGCTGTAAAGCATGTTGTCCTCAAGAGAGGACCATTCGCAATGCCATCGCGAAAGGAGAAGGCTTAAATGAAGGGAGCAGACAACCGAAGGGGTCTCAGTTATTCGGGTATTTGGGTGTCTGTAACCGTTGTTGATAGGACCATAGATGCGTGATTAGAAACCAGTGAAAGGGGATAATGACTTATCCTTTTGCCAAAATTCTCTTCAGTATATTAAGCCGCGAGCGATTTCCTAGCAGCAGTAGGGCTTACCAAGAACAGCTTGAACCAATGAAGGAGGCGGTGAATCTTGGACTCGTGGGTGCGAGGCAACTTTGTTTTTTATTTATGAACTCTTGTCTTCTTGTAGACTTTTGCAAACCCTTGTTTTTTTGTATGACAAGCAATTTTGAATTGTGCGTGAAGCTTCTTTCGTTAGCTAATTTTTGTGTTTTAAGAATTTCGCTTTATCTACCCCTTTCGGACGTGGAACTTCAGATTGAGTGATTTGACGCATAGCAAGGAGTGTTTCTTTCCACCTTAAAAGATTATCCAGAAATCTTTTAAGGAGGATAGATGAATCCGGAGCAAGCACACTGTGAGGTGCAGAACCTTCTTAGTTTTGAATTATGTTCATCGTAGTCTTTAAAAGATCCCGTTCTTTTACTTCTTTTGGAGTTTTGGGCGAGCTGACGTGACGGCCGACTCTGATAGTCAGAAAAATTGAGGCGAGTTAGTTATTATATCTCTCGGCAGGAGCTGCTGATTTGGGATTATTCCCGACTCAATGGTCGTATTAGAATCTCTTTGAGAATTCCCGTCTATCTCAATCATTTATCTCATTGCGTATTAGAGTGAGTCGTTTTGAGATGCCTGTGGACTAGAGCTCGAACACGCCCTTGCTATCTTTGAGACTTTTGAAACCTTTAAAATGGTGAAACGATTGAAATTATATTGGACCCAAAATCCTCGTTAATTTCTAAAACCATTTCTCTTGGGTGACCTAAGATTGTAACCTTCTTGTGAAACCTTGAACTTCGCGCAGGCTCTGGCTGGGTGTATCCACGCGAAGTATGGCCGATCACGCACGACCATGCTGAGAGACGGGAGGCTTGCGCGCGGCCGACCGTTGACTCGCATGCGAACCACAGCCACCATCACCGTACGCACGAACTCCCCAGGCCAGTGTATATGGCCAACCATCGATGTTTTTCCTGAACTGTTGAAACTGTTTCAAGCTGAAATATTTGATTATCCTTTTGAACCCCTTTCATTCGAACCTTGAACCGAGAGCTCTGAGTCCCACCAAATGAATGTAAGACCTTAATCGATGATTTCTGATTAAGGAATATGGTCGATGAGTCCCTATGCATTATTTGAGAGTTTCTCGAGTGGGCAAATCCGGAATGTCGTATTGCTATTGGTCAATCCTTATGTTACACATAAGAGATGCGTTCGACTCGTGGAGTCAATATCGTGTGGGTATGAGCATCTGGGATGTGCAATATACCGTGTCATAGTCTCTGATGTAGACACTCAGTCCATCATAGAATCGTGAGCAAGTTATCAGTATGACTCGGGCACGAGACTGAAACTTGGCATCACGTGTCTACCTTGTTGGTGAGGTAGTCGGAGTATGCTGGCAATACACTGAACGACCTGTTGAGGTCTTGTGTGTTGTTAGGTACGAAGTTAATTGTTGATACACATGGGTATAGGCCAAGCCAGACTGAGTCTCTTGCAAGAGGATGTGCGCCAGAGCTTGGGCAGGATTGATCACCCTCCCATGCAATAAGGCAAACATATGAGCATATGACGAGTCGGATTGAGTCCTGTACGCGAGTGTAAGCTTTTCGAGTATGTCGTTTTCTTTGGATGCGTGTTCTTTCATATTTCTGAGGACGGAAATATTTTAAGGAGGATAGACTGTAATACCCCATTCAGTTGTGGAATATTTGGAGTTATTATTTATTTTCTTTATTAGTATTTACTCTCCTTATTATTATTTTATCTGATATGGGATATTATATACACAAGGCTAAACCGGTCTGCTGGGCCGGTCGAGAAAGTTAAACCAAGAGGGAGCCAAGCCAAAATGCGGGAAGATCAAACATTCAGGGAATCGACCAGGCAGGTGGTCGACCAGTCCATCGCACGACCAGACTAACGATCGAGCAACCCATCGCTCGACCAGATACCTGATCGGGCAACCCATTCGACCTCAACAGGTCGATCGCTTCGAGGAACCAACAGTCGGGCTAGTCATGGGCGCGTGTATCACGGGCGCGCGTGAGAGCCTCTAACTGAGTCCCAGGAAAATATTTACCCCATGTGCAGGGGGGACACGTGTCCACGATGTATTGGGTGATAGCGATAACCACCTCTGACAGCTCCCAACGCCCCGCGCCACCTCTGACATGTGCGCGGCGTGTCAGAGTACAGACGGGCAGCTTGGGCAGCCAACTCATCCTTATCCGGGCAGCTATTAGGGCAGGTATCTCACCCCTATATAAAGGAGGTGAGCCTTTCTCCTTGAACACATTCTATTTTCCATACTTCACTTCAGTATACTCATACACATACTGACTTAAGCATCAGAGGCTCTTCACCGGACACAACCCCCGGTGTGAGAGTTATTTGCAGGTTTCCGG